AGCTAGCCCTTTGCTACATGAAAACTTTAAGCTATACCTTTGCTACATGTTAGCTTTGTGCTAGTCCTTTGCTACATGTTAGCTTTGTGCTAGTCCTTTGCTACATGTTAGCTTTGTGCTAGTCCTTTGCTACATGTTAGCTTTGTGCTAGTCCTTTGCTACATGTTAGCTTTGTGCTAGTCCTGATACATGCTCAATAATCCAGGTAGAAAAATCTAAAAAAGTTAAATCTGGTCCTCTGGACATTCAAAAAAACAAAACAAAGCAAAACAACAAAAAAATGTAGAAACGTTTCGTCTCTCATCCGAGAGACTTCCTCAGTCTGAGGTGCTGTATTCAGCTCAGTCTCTTAAATAGCACCTTCTCAGAGTGAGAAGGTCACGGCCGAAATGTTCTGAAGGAGCTGATGTTATGGCTAAAGTAGCTAAACATACGCTAAAGTAATTTGTAAAAAAAAACAAACCACATTTCGTGGACAAAATCTATAAACAGGAAAACAATGGTTAGCATTCACACAATAATTGCTTAATAGTGGTCATTAAGGTCTTAACCCTCCTGCTGCCCTTGGGTCAAAGCCACCCAGGAGGTCTAAAGCTGAGGCCACGTGGGTCGTTTTGACTGAAGGGCAGCAGGAGGGGTTAAAACAGCCTTTAGCTCGTCTTTCTGGTCAGCATAAAACTCACTTTATTAAAACTGAGCTCCTTCAAAAAGCTATGTGCAACAGGTAAGATACTAACTGTTCATAACCGTTTGATGGACTTTATGAGCTTTATGAACGGACAACGCAATGAATCAAGTTCTGCCTGCGCAGGAGAGATGAAACAATCTGTTCTGATCCGCTCTAAAAGTTGGCGACAACAATCAGCAACGCCTTTTTCCATCTTATCGTCCATTTTAACGACTCTGATGAAACTCCTCTCAGCAGGCTGATGACGACGAAACACACGGTTCCCATTCGGTTTATCTGACGACCTCTGGAACGGATCTCGTAGATCCCTCGGGGCAGCCAGAGAGTCTTTGATGTGCATCTGCGGTTTTCCACATTCAGATGAGTATCGGCTGCAGCCAGGGAGCTGGAAAAACGCAGATTACGAGCCCAGATTCCACGGGAATGTGGAGCGAGCGTCTGTTTTCTATAGTTGGCCTGAAGCGTTCTCCACCCTGGACACCAAACCCAAAAAACAGACCAGTTGAGCCATAAAGAGGTGATTTTAGACTGGGGGTGGAAACACCACAACCCCCCCACGACAAACGCACAAAAAGCAGAATTTCGGCTGCGTTAACGTCCACTTTCTGAGACCAGTTCTTATCTTAAAAAGAAAAATATCTCCTGAACCTCTGGACGGAGTTTCACAATCACGTCTTTGTTTAAAGCTCTTGAAGGAAAATAGTTGGAATGCTTCTTTAACTCAGACGTGTTTTTTTAGGAGGAAAAAAAAACGACCACCTTAACTGTGAAAAAATATTTTTATATTTTTGTCCGCAGTAAACACAATTTTTAAGAGCTTTCTCAGCTTGAAATATTAAGTTTAAATTATTATTGTTGTTGTTTTTTCACATTTTTTTTAATGTAAGGGCCTTTAGTTAAAAAAAAAAAAAACCCTCACAAATAAGGTGAAACTGACTAAATATTTATCTTAGGTCCATTTTTGAGAATTAAAAAAACTCTTTAGTTTAAAAGAAGTTTTAACTGGTTTAATTTAAA